TGGATCCATCTTTTCCTGTAAATCTGAGAGTATTTGCTTAATCTATTTGGGTGCACCGATGTTTGGGGCATATAGATTGACAATGGTGATATCCTCTTCTTGGATTGTTCCCTGTATTAATATGTAGTGACCTTCTTTGTCTTTTCGTCATGATTTGAATGTAAAGTTTATTTTATAGATATCAGGATGGGAACTCCTGCCTTCTTGCTGGGGGCATTTGCTTGGTAGATCTTTTTCCATCCTTTCACTGGAGTTTGCTTTATCTTTGCTGTAAGGTGGGTCTCTTGAAGACAGCAAATTGATGGAACTTGTTTTCTGAGCCAATCTGCAGTTCTTTTTCTTTTGATTGGTGAATTGAGTCCATTAATGTTTATGGTTATTATAGAGAGGAATGTTGTGTTTCCTGTTATTTTCCTACTTTCCTATGTTTTTCTTCTTTTCTTTCCTTCTGTGTTTACTAAGTTGCTCTCCTAACAATATCTATCTGGTATGGATCCCTGATCTTGATTGTTTTCTTCGGATTGTAATCCCCCTCTTAATATTCTTTGTAATGCTGGCTTATTGTTTATGAATTCATTTAGTTTTTCTTTACTATTAAAAATTTTAGTTTCTCCATTGAATATGAATGCTAGCTTTGCTGAATATACCAATCTGGGCAAGCAGATATTGGTTCTCAGGGCTCGATGGTACTTTCCCGGGCTTTCCTTGCACTCAGTGTCTGTGTGGAGAGATCTTCAGTGATTCTTTCTTTCTTTTCTTTCTTTCTCTTTCTCTCTCTTTTTCTTTTTTTTTGCCAATAAGCTTTTTAAAGACTCCTCTTCTGACCTATTTCTACCATAAAAACAATACAAAAATTTCAGAGAAGTCTGAAAACTTCTGGGTAAGAAGGTAAAATAGAAGATGTTACAAGCAGAGGATGTTTTTTTTTCCATTATTGAATAGGCAAAGTCAGGCATTCTATTTGTGTCTTGAATACCAACTCTCCATATAACAACAGTGAATGCAGCACAGTTTTTACCTTTTCTGGACAGGAAACTGATCTGAATACTATTGCCCAGTTCCACAGCTAGCAAGTACCAATTACAGAGTTTGAAATCGGGTGTTCTGGCTCCGCAGACTGAGCTCTAAACACTTGTGTCTGCTGCCTCTGATAGGGTATCCCTACTTCTCAGAGGATAGAACTCTAGGGGCAGTTTTCAGGGTGTCCTGGAATGCCTATAGTTTGTCTCAGATTGTCGTCACCTCTGCATTTTTCAGCACGATGGTTCCTGGTTTTTTTTTTCTTTTCCATTTTTTTTCACTCCTGGGGCTTGAACTGTGGGCCTGGGAGCTGTCCCTCAGCTCTTCAGCTCAAGGCAAGCACTCTATCACTTGAGCCACAACTCCACTTCTGGATTTCTGATGGTTAATTGGAGATAAGAGTCTTATGGACTTTCCTGCCTGGATTGGCTTTGAACCTTGATCCTCTGATCTCAGCCTCCTGAGTAGCTAAGATTACAAGCGTGAGCCCCCAGCAGTTCCTGGCTTTCATCTGTTTTAAAATAATTGAGAGCTGGGTGCCAGTGGCTTATGCCTGTAATCCTAGCTACTCAGGAGGTTGAGATCTGAGGATTGTGGTTCAAAGCCAGCCCAGGCAGAAAGTCGTGAGACTCTTAATCTCCAATAAACCACTCAGAAAACTGGAAGTGGTGAAGTGGCTCAAGTGGTAGAGCACTAGCCTTGAGCTGAAGAGCTGAAGGACAGTCTTCAGGCCGAGTTCAAGCCCCATGACCAAAAAAAAAAATTTAAGAAGGCAGCTAGCATAGACAAATGTTTTGTGGCCTTTTACTAAGGTCTCTGAGTGGAATAGTGATCTTGGAAGAGCAGCTGTTTATGGATTCATTCATATTTCTTAGGAAACATTATTCCAGACTAATTACTTTTTCTGGAATACTCATGCCAGGTCCCAGATATAGAGATTGTTACCCTTTCATTCAGAGTGGATCCCTGGCATGTGTCTGGGTGATTCTAACAAAAGTCTTTGGTTAAGAACCAATATCTCCCAAGGGGACAAGGATTAGATTTTCTTTATCTAAATAGCACAATAAACACTAATAAATACTTGATGGCACATTGCAAGTTATATTTGCTTTTTTGTGTGTATGTGCCAATTCTGGGCTTGAACTCAGTGCCTGGGAACTGTTCCTGAGTTTTTTTGCTCAAGACTGGCACTGTACCACTTGAACAGTTCTACTTCTCGCTTTTTGTTGTTAATTGGAGATGAGGGTTTTTTTTTTTGTTTTTTTTTGGGGGGGTCCGGTCATGGGGCCTGAACTCTGGGCCTGCACTGTCCCTCAGCTCTTCAGCTCAAGGCTAGTGCTCTACCACTTGAGCCACAGTGCCACTTCTGGCTTTTTTCTTTTTGCTTATGTGGTGCTGAGGAATCGAACCCAGGGCTTCATGCATGCAAGGCAAGCACTCTACCACTGAGCCACCTTCCCAGCCCCGGAGATAAGAGTTTCATGGACTGGCTTTGAACTACAATCCTCAGATCTTACCTTCCTGAGTAGCTAGGATTACAGGCATGATCCACTGATGCTTGGCTTATCATTGCTTTTTATTCAAAGGTGAGAATAACGATAGTCACACATATTTTACATGATACCTTTATTGTGCCCTACTCATTTCTCAAGTTTTCACTTTTAAATGTCCTTTACGAAGCCTGATTTTCTTGGTGGCCTGATTTGAAATAAAAGTTCCTTTCTCTAAGTCACCTACTGAATGCCAGATGAATTAGAAAATACCTCCTTCTCAGAAGCCCGCAGTTAGTTTACATCTTTGAAAGTGGTCCTCTAATGAACCTTAATGAATATCTTTCTTACTCTCCCTTATTAACCAGGCTCAGTCTTTGTGACAGTTCTGCCATCTCAGTGCTTTGAGTATCAAGCTATATGATGTAGGTCACAAACTCCTAGGCTTAGTACTTTCATATAGTTGGATGTAAGAGCTTGGAAAGTATGCCATGGTTCTGAAGTAGATCTGGCTAAGTATTTAAACTGTGTAAATGCATCCCTCTTGTAATGTAAGAAAGCTGTTTGAATAAACTAGTGTCTCTTAATCTCAAAAAATGGGGGTGGGGGAGAGGGAAGGAGGGAGGGAAGAAAGAAGGAAAAGAAGGAAAGGATGGAAGGAGGAAGAAACTTGGAAAGAAACTCCAGGAAATAATTGAAAGGTTAAAAGCACAAGTGACAAGGAAGTAATTGGAGGGGTTCTTCTGGGAGAGATCAGGAAGACAGGTACCAGGAGACATACCTGACAGTTACAGAGGGAGAAGGAAGAAGATGAATTTTGGTAATGAGTGTAAAGGACTATAGGCATGTCATAAAGAAGATATTTGGATTTCATAGCCAACATTTTGATGAAGAAATAGGCAGTTGAAGTGTACATAATTTCCGTAGAAAGGCAGAGGAAAATAGTTAGACTAGATAAGCACTTTTTTTTTCATTTATGGTTTTAGATCACAGTGAACAAAATAGACATGGTTACTGATAACAAAACTTGTCCAGAGAAGTGTTTTCCTATAGTACCAAGAGCATAGGTAGAAAAGTCGGTAATGACTGAACCAGTGGGAGGTAATGGCTTAGAGCAGTTCTTTCCCTACTCTCTCTTCTTTTTTTTAATATGGATCCTACAATCTGCTGCTGCAAAATCTGCCTGTTTTAGAATTTCTGCACCAATTGATGTCACCCCAAATAAAAGTACCTAATGTAAAGTTGAAGATTTGTTTTTATTATTTTTTAATTTGGTCTATTAGCACATTGTTATGATACTGTATTGTGTATGCTGGCATGCATGTATACATTTGTGTGTGCATGTGCATATTGGTACCAGTCTTGAACTCAGGGTCATAAATTCTTGTTTTGCTTTTTCACTCAAGCTAGCCTCGTACCAGTTGAGCCATACTTCCATTTTTTCTAAAAGCCACATGCTCCGAATTGAATAAATCACCATAAATCACAAGTTTGTATTGTGAGAAAATGTATTTCTTTGCTTGCTTCCTTCTAACAATCATCAGGCTTACCAGTACTTGACCCAACAAGCTTTTTCCTACAAATAGGACCTGGGAAACAACTTTAACACCACCACCAATTGTACAGATAGATAGATGGATAGATAGATAGGTAGGTAGAGAGAGAGTGAGAGAGAGAGAGAGAGAGAGAGAGAGAAAGGTCTGTGGAGGTGTGTGTTCGTGTGTGTGTGTGTGTGTGTGTGTGTGTGTGTATTTTGGTTTTGGTTTTTTGGTTGGTTGTGGGGCTTGAACTCAGGGCATGGGTGCTGTCCCTTGAGCTTTTTTGTGCTCAAGGCTAGCACTCTACCACTAGAACCACAGCGCCACTTCCAGCTTTTGAGCGGTTAATTGAAGATAAGAGTCCCACAGGGACTTTTCTGCCCAGGATGGCTTTGATCCTCAATCCTCAGATCTCAGCCTCCTGAATAGGATTATAGATATGATCCAACAGCACCCAGCAGTCTGTAGTTTTTATGAAAGGGGAAAAAAAAAGTTTTATGGATCAGACAAATTCGAATTTGAGTCCTGAATCTTCTGGACAGTTTATGTGACATAAAATGCAAGTTGCTTGGTTTTCTTATTATCTGTAAAATGAGAGAGGAATGATACTTTGTGATACTTATAAACAGGATTATAAAGTGTTATTAGTATATATTTAGTAGTAGCAAAATCATAGAAATTGTCTTTAAAAAATTAATACAGAAACAAAAAAATAACTTAATAGATTGATCTTTATATAGAAGTTGTACCATGAAGACAGCCCTCCTAGAGAGAAGTAAACTGCAGGTGGTCACAATTCTGACAGTGGAGTATGTGGTTTGCAGTATATGGGCCACTGTGTCTTTAATTTGGAGAGGCGTACACTGACTGTAATGGGGAGGTAGATTTCTAGACACACATCAACCTGGCCTCCACATTGATGTCCTCATTTTCCCTATTGCTTTCCTGGCAGGTGGCTGTTAAAAACAATATTGATGTCTTCTACTTCAGCTGCCTCATCCCACTCAATGTGCTCTTTGTAGAAGATGGTAAAATGGGTAAGTGTGTCTTCTAGTCCTTTGGCTAAATATACCTTTGCTCTTCCTCTGAACATTAGGCATAGCATAGCCCAGATGTACAAGTTATTTTGAGACTTAAAAAATTGGGTAAAAATATTTGAAAGCTCTAATAATTGCTCATTATTTATTTGTTAAGGTCATTGTTCTTTTTCTGCCATTGGTGTCTAAATCGTTAAGCCTATTATCTGAAAAATTGAATCATCACAGGATATAGAGTAAGTGCTTTGGGGACAGATAGATGTAGATTGAACCTTTGCTGTGCCATTTATTAGCTATTGAACACAGGTGAGATTCTTAGGTTTCTCTTTTTTGGAGGGGGGCTTGGATGTAGGGCCTTGAACTTGCTAAGCAGGTACTGTACTACATGAGCTATGCCCCCAGCTACATGCTCAGCTTCTCAGTGTCCAATTGTGCAAAATGAAAATTGTTTTTATAATGATTTAATGATGATATAATATATATCTATAGATATATATCCTTGTGTGGAGTTTAGACTGCTAAGAATAAAAATGAAGTAATTATAATAAACTCAGTAATTTAAGAATTTATGTTTATAATACCCCCAAATGGCTATTGACATTTCTTTTACTTATGAAACCACCATCCAATAAAACTAGCTTATATTGGTACATATAAAATTTTATTGGCACTTACTTGATTTATCAGTGGCTTTTTAGGTGACTTAGGATAGATGTTATTATATGTGAAGAAATTAAGACACAGAAAGGTCACAAGACTTTCCCAGAGTCACCCAAATTAGGAAAATTAGGGAACCAAACCTCTGGATGTAAACTCTTCAGTATGTGTAAGTGATGTGTGATGGATTAATTGGCTTGAGTATGTAGCACTTCAGCATAGCTGTGGTAGCTGTATTGTAAGAGCTGCATGCCAGAGGAAAAAGAGTGACAGACATCAGAAATCACAAACTAGGAAACCATCTTCTCTGCTTCCTCCTGCAGAGCGCCAGGTCTTTCTTGCAACATGGAAGGATATTCCTAATGAAAACGAACTCCAGTTTCAGATTAAGGAATGCCATTTAAATGCTGGTGAGTAGTAACTTTTATTTAGTTTTCATCTTAATAAGTCAAATTAGATATTTGACTGTTTCACCTTTCTTCTACCTGCCTTTTCTTTCCATATCTAACATGTCTTTGGTGGGTATGTGTTATGCACATTTGTAACCCTCTCTTTAAAACCTTGAAAGCTAAGCCAGGCGCTGGTGGCTCACGCCTGTAATCCTAGCTACTCAGGAGGCCCAGATCTGAGGATCGCGGTTCAAAGCCAGCCCGGGCAGGAGAGACCGTGAGACTCCTATCTCCAATAAACCACCAGAAAACCGGAAGTGGCACTGTAGCTCAAGTGGTAGAGCGCTCGCCTTGAGCTGAAGAGCTGAGGGACAGCACCTAGGCCCAGAGTTCAAGCCCCACGACTGACCAAAAAAAAAAAAAACCTTGAAAGCTGGGCACTGTGGCTCATGCCTATAATCCTAAATACTCAAAAGACTGAAGTCTAAGGATTGTAGTGCAAAGCCATCCAAGGCAGGAAAATCTGTGAGACTCCTATATCCAGTTAATGACCAAAATGCCAGAAGTGGAACTGTGGCCCAAGTGATATAATGCCAGCTTTGAGCAAAAAAAAGCTAGAGACAACATCCAGGCCCTGAATTTAAGCCTCAGGACCATCACAAAAAAATTAAAAACTTGCCGGGCGCTGGTGGCTCATGCCTGTAATCCTAGCTACTCAGGAGGCTGAGATCTGAGGATGGCGGTTCAAAGCCAGCCCAGGTAGGAGAGACTGTGAGACTCCTATCTCCAATAAACCACCAGAAAACCGGAAGTGGCGCTGTAGCTCAAGTGGTAGACCGCTCGCCTTGAGCTGAAGAGCTGAGGAACAGTGCCAAGGCCCAGAGTTCAAGCCCCACGACCAACAAAAAAAAAAAAAAAATTAAAAACTTGAGATGTCAGTCAGTCATAGTGATACATTCCTGTAATGCTAATACTCAGAAGAAATTTACTCAGTATTCAAGCAGAAAGATCAAAAGTTCAAGACTACCCTGGACTCCACAATGATACCTTATCTCTAAAGAAATTAATTTAAAAAAAAAAAACAAACGGGTGCCTGTGGTTCATGCCTGTAATCCTAGCTACTAAGGAGGCTGGGATCTGAGGATTGTGGTTCAAATCCAGCCTGGGCAGGAAAGTCTGTGATATTTATCCTCCAATAAACCACCAGAAAACCAGAAATGGTGCTGTGCTCAAGTAGTAGAGTGCTAGCTTTGAGCTGAAGAGCTGAGGAACAGTACTCAGGCCCAGAGTTCAAGCCCCATGACCTACAAAAACAAAAACAAAACAGAAGAGGAGGAAAGGACCATTTAAGCTGGGCATGGTAGCTCAGGCACATATGCCAGGAGCTTGGGGAGGGCAGAGGTCAGATGATTGTGGTTCAAGGCCAACCCAGGCAAAACAAAATTTGCAACCAATGCATGGTGTTACATGTCTGTTGTATCTCCAGTGACACAGGGAGCACAATTAGGAGAATCACAGCCCAGGCATAAAGCAAAACCCTATTTGGAAAATTACAAAGGTAAAAAGGGATTGGACATGTACTCAAGTGGTAGAGTGCCTGCCTAGCAAGCACAAAGCTCTGAGTACAATCCCCAGTACTGCAAAAAAGAAAAAGAAAAAAAGACCAAAAGATTATTTAATCATCTTTTTTTAATAAGTTTTTATTATGAAAATGCCATTTAATCATCTTTCTTTTTCTTTTTTGTGCTAATGTTGAGGCTTAAACTCTAGGCTTCACACACTTGCTTGACTTTTTTTTTTTTTCTGCCGGTCCTAGGGCTTGAACTCAGCACCTTGGCTGTGTCCCTGAGCCTCTCTGTACTCAAGGATAGTACCCAGCCTTTTCTGTTTATGTGGTACCAAGGAATTGAACCCAGGGCTTCCTGCATACTTGGCAAGCATTCAACCACTAAGCCACATTCCCAGCCCTTGCTTGGCTTTTTAATTCAAGCCTGAAACTCTACCATTTGAGCCATACCTCCAGTTTCAGCTTTTTAACTAGTTAATTAAAAATAAATCTCTCAGATTTGTCTGTCCAGACTGGCTTTGAACCATAATCCTCAGATCTCAGCCTCCTGTGTAGCTAGGATTACAGGTATGTGCGACCAGTGGCCTCACCCACTTCACCTTTTATATTAGCCTTTGGTAGTAAAAGGAAGGTGGTTATTTTTCTGACCTTATAGATTAAAATTCTGTTTATAATTAAAGATTGCATTATAGTTGATTAAAGCCTAGTTGGAAACTATTTTCTTTATTGCCTTGTGTCACATAATTACTATATAAATTACTATTAATCCTCAAACCTTTTTAGAGTTAATTTTTTGTTGTTGCTGGTCAATCTTAGTCCTTGAGCTCAGGGCTGCTGCCCCTGAGCTTTTTTTCTCTCAAGGCTTGGACTCTACCACTTTGAGCCACAGCACCACTTCCTGTTTCCTGGTGGTTAATTGGAGATAAGAGTGTCATGGACTTTCCTGCCTAGACTGTCTTTGAATCAGGATCCTCAAATCTCAGCCTCTTGAGTAGCGAGGATTACAGGACATAAAATAGGGTAATCCAAGTGGAGAAATGAGCAGGTGTCAAGTCTGGGGTTTTGTTTTCCTGGAGTCCTGTCTTTTGTATCACCTCTCCCCTCCCCCACCTCCTCTTCCCCTTCCTCCTTTTGTCCCCACCACCACCACACACACACATCTTTTTTTCCTTGACCTGAGCACTGTCCCTCAGTTCTTCAGCTCAAGGCTAGCACTCTATCACTTGAGCCACAGTGCCACTTCCGGCTTTTTTTTTCTGCTTATGTGATGCTGAAGAATCGAACCCAGGGCCTCATGCATGCAAGGCAAGCGCTCTACCACTGAGCCATCTTCCCTGCCCTCCTTTTTTCTTTTGTGCCAGTCCTGGGCTTGAATTCAGGATCTGGGTGCTGTCCCTGAGCTTTTGTGCTCAAGGTTAGTGCTCTACCACTTGAGCTGCAACTCTCCTTCTGGCTTTTGAATAGTTAACTTGAAGATAAGAATCTCACAAACTTTCCTGCCCCTGCTGGCTTTGAACTGTGATCCTCAAATCTCAGCCTCCTGAATAGCTAGGGTTACAGGGTTGAGCCACTGGCACCCAGCCTTTTCCTCTCTTTCAGAGGTTAGTATAAAACTATGAGTTAGAATGAAAGTAAGCCTTGGTACTTCCTTTTAAATTTATCCATCATTTCATCTTCCATGCATAGTTTTTTATCTTCTGTGTTTGGAATGATCTTTTCATACAAAGATTTTGAAATCCAGCTGCATAGTTACCACCTTCTTCCTTTGATTTCCCCCCCTTTAAATGTGCTAGTATTATTGTCCCTCTATGGTACTTTTAGGAGGCTGAAGCCACGCTTGAACCCTGAGACATAAATGACATCTTTTGAGTATAGAAACTTGAGATAGAAGCTTGTCTCTGATAAGGGTTACCTAATATCCCAGCCACTAGAGAGGAGTGTGAGGAGACAGTCTTTTAAGATTTCTTTCATTATATATAGTTATTTGAGTCTGTTCATTTTGTGCCACTTTTTTTTTTGGGGGGGGGTCAGTCATGGGGCTTGTACTCTGGGCTTGAACTCTGTCCCTCAGCTCTTCAGCTCAAGGCTAGTGCTCTCCCACTTACGCCACTGCACTACTTCCGGTTTTCTGAGTGGTTTATTGGCAATAAGAGTCTCACTGACTTTCCTGCCCAGGCTGGCTTTGAACCATGATCCTCAGATCTCTCAGCCTCTTGAGTAGCTAGGATTATATGCATGAGCCACCAACATCCAGCTTGTGCTACATTTTTAAGTGGGCTACTGTGTTATCTGTTCCTCACTCTGATCATGAATCAGTTACTGTAAAACTCACTTGGTGAGCATAGGAGGTTAGGCAGCTTTTCTGGGTGGTCCCACAGAGGCTGGTTGTAAAAACTAGAGTAGATTTCCCTAGAGAAGCCATCACTGCCCATTTGGTAGAGATCACACTCTGAGTTAACCATCATTCTGTAGCAGCTGTTCTGATGGCAACATTTGAGATAGTATGATACTGAGAATACTTGTCACTCAAACAAGGTTAAAAAATAACAGCATATGATATGTCCTCTTAGAAGTTCCTGATGCACATTTATCTCTGATAATAAAGTCCTGCATTTCAGAAATGTGTTTAATTCAATATTAACTAGATTTATTTGATCATGAAATTTAAAGTGACAGGCCAGGTGCTGGTGGCTCACACCTATTAGTCCTCACTATTCAGAAGGCTGAGATTTGAGGATCATAGTTCAAAGCCAGCTCAAGCAGGAAAGTCTGTGAAGTGCTTCTCTCCAATTAACATCCAAAAAGCTAGAAGTGGGGCTGTGGCTCAAGTGGTAGCATGTTAGCCTTGAACAAAAAAAAGCTTAGAGATAGTAGGCAGGCCCTGAGTTCAAGCCCCAGGACCAGTATACACACAAAGACAGTGCTTATTATTAACATGGAAACACCACTGTTCCTTGAACATAATACTTGGGAAGACCTGGCCTCTCTTGTCTCTGACTGTCTATCTGTCTCTCTGTGTACATAGATAAATATGCATATAGATACATATATTATTTATCTATATATACATAGATATATGCATATGCCAAAGACCAAGTAATTGGGAAAGTTGGTTTTGTTTCTGGTCTGGTGTAAAAGGGACATGCTTTTCCTTAAAAGAAAATTGTGAGCCCGGCACTGGTGGCTCACACGTATAATCCTAGCTACTTAGGAGGCTGAGATCTGAGGATCAAGGTTCAAAGCCAGCCCAGGTAGGAAAGTCCATGAGACTCTTATCTCCAATAAACCACCACAAAACCAGAAGTGGTACTGTGGCTCAAGTAGTAGGAGTGCTTGTCTTGGGCTGAAGAGCTCAGAGACAGTGCCCAGGTCCAGAGTTCAAGCCCCATGACTGACCAAAAAAAAAAAAAAAAAAAAGAGGGAGGAAGAGAAGGAAAAAGGAAGAAAAGAAAGA